TTTAATCTGGCGGGTTACGGTAACGGTTTTTGGGAGTGAAACGGTTCAAAAGTTTACTGTCAGACAGGTTTTGAATAGACAGAATGCAAATGTTTGTTTGTACCGAAAGTTTCTCAATTTTCCTGAACCAATTATAGATCTGCAGCAAGAGTATCCAATAATCGCAGGAATTTCCTTCAAAAATGAATAAGGAGCGTAGATAAACCTCAAGCATATGCTAATGGCATCAATTTGCTGCACTTCACATGCATTTGCCACCTTTAAACAGTGCTCTGGAAGTGCATATTCGATGTTCAATCTGCTAATACCATCAGAGACATCAGAGATGGAAGCAGAGGGAAGGGAGACAGGGAGCTGGAACCTCTCTTGACCCACAAGAGAGAACCTGCGCTGGCAGGTTGTCTTCTACGTAGGACTCTATTGTTGTTGTGATTGGATTTGTCATCTTCACGCTTCTTGTCGGCCGAAATCAATCAGAGAGCCCAGGCCAGAGACACCTTCGAGAGGCAACGGCTGAAGCGCTGGAGGAGTGGGAGAAGACTTTGCTAATTCCCGAAAATAAAGTGAAACACGTCACACAACAACAACGAAGACCGATACACACACACACACACACAAAACAAGATCGTATAGATCGTACAGATCATGCATAATAACCCAGGGAAAGAGCAGAAGAAAAGAAGAAACTGAAATTATTATTACTTTTTTTTTTCTTTCATTTTTTTTTTTGACAATTATTGTTCAAGGTGCTCCTTTCACCGCACCTCAACCTCTGGCTGTGGCTCTGGCAAACGATGATGATGATGATGATGAAATGTTGTCGTTGGACGTGGACACAGGTCGGTCCCAAAAGGCCGGACAAAACGTGGGACGATGGCAGGGAGAGAGAGAAACACTCACACACACACATGGATTGGGCAGAAAATCAGATACAAAACACGCAGCAGCAGCAGCAGCAGCGATACAGATACAAAGGCTATCCCAAAGATGCGACCAGAAAGATATAACAAAACAGACACACACACACAGAGATACAGATACAGATACAGATACAGGCTGTGGGGCACTAAATAGCTGCACGTTGGACACTGGCACGGTGCGTCTTGGACATGCCAAACGATCGACAAGCGAGCGACAGAGGTCGCCCGGTTGGTCTCTGGGGAGCAGAGAGCTCTCCACGCAGATTGTGCAACACAACAGCAGTATGGCAGCAGAGGGAACAAAGCACCTTCTTGCCGGGGCAAGGCGACTCAACTCAACTCGACTCCAACGCCAACGCCAACGCAAACGCAAACGAAACTTTCTTCACTTTTGCGGCTTTTGTTGGCCCAGGTAGCAGGCAGGCAAACGGACTGGTGCGGAGTGGAGCGTATGAAGACAATTACTCAAGTGACATCTCCATCGCATCATCTGCCATCTGTGGGTGGGGGATCTCGGACCATGCGACGGACGTGCCCATGCCTCTCGCACACGGCTGTGTGCCCCATTTCGGATTTACGGCTTGGGGCGTCGCCGCTGTTGCCAGCTTCAGCCTCAGTCTCAGCCTCAGCCTCAATGCGGTTGTTCCCGTGCGGTACGTGTTTGGCATATTGAATGGCCATCCGTACATATGGATGTCCGTCAGTCAGTCAGTCTGCGTTCTCCGTTTTGTCATCTCTGAAAAGCCACAAAAGCGTAGAGAAATCATGGGAGCAGGCTCTCCTCTGGCATTTAGGTACATCTATTGGCTTGTTCTTGCGATAATCATGTGAATAAAATGAACCAAATTCTACTCCTTCGCAGCATCTGGGGCTGCAGTAAGGATTGCTATCTAATGGGCGTGGCATTGTCTAGTCCACCCACAAGACCGAGGCTCCGTAATGATTTATCCGCAATAAAGGTTTGCTATTGTTTTAGCCAACAGCCAGGGGATGGACACACGCACCAGAGGACGTCGTGCCAGCAGCTCTGTGCGGCGGCACTGACCAGGCCAAGACGCTGACAAAAGCAGCAACGCCCACGGCAGCAGCGGCCTCTCGTTTGTCGTCCAACAGTCACAACAGAAGCTGGAACAACAAAAACAAACGACAGACGACAGACGACACACTGCTAAGGGCACAGGGCACTCGGGAGGTAGGTTGCATCCTTCTCGTAATCATAAATAAATTGCATCTGTGGCAGGGGCAACAGCCATCATCATCATCATCATCATCAAAAGTGCGCAAGCCGACGAGCGGAGAGCCCTAAAGGCCAATGATGCGACAAGTGGCGCCTCGAGAGCTGCAGCTAGAAATATTTCACAAATAGAGCACAAAAACTAATCGAAAACCAACAGCAAATCGATAAGCAATAAGCAAAGCGAATTAATAGAACCCTCCAGAGATCCATTCAGCTGTTTCTCCACACAACTTTGAAGACTTATCCTACGATCGCAGCAATTCAATTTATGTCCAATCTCAGCCATCGGAATCCTCCCCTTAGACTCCTCTCCGCGCGGTTTCCCCACCAAATCATTAATCAAATTATTGGCAATCGAGTATCGATCGAGTGCTGTGCATCGGTTGCATATCGAATTGTCTTTGGCCCTCGGTTGCATTATTATGTCATGCCATGCCACATGCCATGCCACATGCGGGTGCATGCACCCAAAAAGGGTTAAACCCCGCACCCAACGAACCACTCCAAAATTATTAAGCTAATTTTCAGTTTTACAATTTAATTTGTTTGAGTTTCCACATGTCCCGCATATCAAGAAATTTATTACGACCCGTTGTCCCTGTCCCTGTCCCAGCCCCAGCCCCAGCCCCAGCCGTTGCGCATGCGTCGTCCCTCGTGCCTATCAATTGTCACCTTGGGGCGTGGCTATCTATCTATTTGGGCGTCTTATCGCTGGCCGAATGATTCAGTCAAGGCAAAGCCCGTGCCCGTGCCCGTGCAGCCGAAGTGGGTCAGGGAGCAGACGGCTTGGCTTGGACATGCGTCAGTGAGGCGCTGCTTCCGGCCAGACTCTGCCTCTGCCACTGCTTTTGCCTCTGCCTCATATTTCACGGCTGAGTAGCAGCGTGCTCCCCCTTCCCTTCGAGACACACAAATCCCGAGCATGGGGGGAGTAGGCTGAAGGCAGGGGAGGGCTTGTCTAAATTTGGCATTAATTGCTTGGAAAATGTCGCTCCAAAGAGGAGCCACCACCAGCACCAGCACCAGCACCGCCGACGCTCTCCCCCTGGTGCTCGTGCAGCGCAAACTTGGAATTGGAACTTGCAACTGCAACTGCAACGTCGTCGTCGTCGTCGTCGTCGTCTTGAGGACAATAAAAGTTCGTGAGAACTTGATGCTTATCGAACACTGAACTTGCAGACAATGCCAACCCAATGAAATGGCGAGTGGGCAGCGACAGTGGGGCTGAGGCTGAACAATCTGCAATGCAAGGAGTGGGGGCGGTAACAAAGGGGTGGGGGGGGGGGATGCATCCATTTCCCCGCTGCTGTGATTAGCCTGGAAAATAGGAAAATGGATCAAAATCAGAGTGCAACGAAATGAAATTTCCCACGAAAGGAACCAACTCCATCTCTCTCGCTATAGCTGCCCTGCCCTGCCCTGTCCTGCCCTGTCCTGTCCTGCCTGCCCCTTTCATTCGCCACGTCACTGTATCCTTTCTTTTTGTGTTTTTTTTTTGCACACACACACACACCTTTTCGCTCGCAGGACTCTCTTAGGTCGTTCGCCTTGCAGTCTCTCGCATTCGCACATTTTGCTGCGACAATCCTTAATCCTTTTTCTCACGCACCAAAAAACATTCAATAAAAAGCGAGAGCGAGAGAGGGAGAGAGTGAGTTCTCAAGGATCCTTCTCTCGATCGATGACACGTTGCAAATATTGGACAGGACACACAGCAGCAGCAGCAGCAGCATTGTCCTGGCGATTTTCGCCACAACGGAACGAAACCCTCAGACTGCGATCCAGGTAGCAGTAGCTGTGCCACATCTGCATCCTCATGCCTCAACAATGGCAACACGCAGCAAAATCTGAATCATGATCAATTCAATTATTGGTACTCCCCGATCGAAGGAATCGGAGGAGCCGAAGCCGAAGCCGAAGCCGAGGCCGTCACCTGCTGCTCGCCGGTCCATTCCGTTCCTCAGTTTTCCCATGACAAAATATATTCCGCGGACAGCTCTCCCCTCGCTCTAGCTCTCTCTCTCTCTCTCTCTCTTTCTGTTTTGGGAGGGAGACAGAGAGAGCTCCCATTGTCTGCGGGGCTAATCAAGTGGCTGCGGGACCAGACCAAGGGGCGATCTTTTCGCATTTCCCTCCTACGGGGCGCTGCATTGTGTCTGCATCTCTCTTCTTTTCTCTTTCTGCTGAAACATGAAGCGGCCAACAAGTGCTGCGAGTCCTGAGGCAGGACACAGGATGGACGATCGCTCGATGCATGTACACATGCGCTTAGTGTAATGGGATAAGCTGCTCTGCTCCCTTCACAAGTGCGCGACGATAATGAAATTTTATACTTGTTCCTGCCTCAGAACAGAGGCACAACAGAAGAAGCAGCAGCAGCAGCAGCAGCAGCAGAAACGAAATGGTATTTGGCTGTGGGAAATTGTGGGAAAATCTTTCGTTAATCCCTGCACTGATGAATTGTTCGATCGATTCGCAGGTGCATGCCCCATTGTTCCAAACGAATGCGAGAAACGAGAGCTCTCCTTCTCCGCTCCCAAGATTCCAAGAGATTGCTAGAGCAGGAGGACCCAGCAGATATCGAGGCGCTATCAAGGTTCGACTGCATTAAAGCTTAGGGAATGCCCAAAGAATTCTCCCAAAGAACATCACTGCGCAGTCTGTGATCTTTTTTTAGAAGGTGATCTTGACCGATCTTAACTGGAGTTAGATGCAGTTGTTTCACATACAATTCCTATAGATTCCCCCCTCGAGTACTTTCGAAGTTCCTTTCTTCGATCGGTGATCAGTTCTTTCTCAAGCAAAATCTATTCCCTTGGCTGGCCCGATCATTCATTACTCACTGGCTGGGATTGGGAGGGCGGCTGTTCTTGGGGCACTTGTGGCACTTGTGGAACCAGTGATCATTAGACGTGGGAACTCTGGGCGGACGCACAATGTGGTGCCCGTTGCGGCGCTGATGGTGCCGTTACCGTTAGAAGACTCACCTGCAACGAGAAGAAAAGAGCGAATTCAGCGCATAAATTATTAATTAAGAGTGGGATAAAAAAAAAAGCAAAACACAGAAAAGAAAAGAAAAGAAAACGAGCACCAGATTCCAGTGCAAATAAATTAGCAAAGCAAAGGAGCCCCTGAGAACGCCACGTGTGGCACACGCAAGAACCGTTCCACCACGGCATGAGCAACAGCAACATCAAATTCAACAGCACCAGTGACCAGTAATGACCCCCAAGGAAAGGGCCGACACCGCTTCACCATTCATGTGAATGCGGAATGAGGAATTTTTCACACTGCACTTGAGCAGTCGCTGGTGGTGGTGATCGGGTGGCGGTGGTGCCGCTGCTTCTTGCACGTCTCAAGGAAAACAAAAGAAGTTCGCATAACTGGAATTAAAGCAGCGCCCATCCACAGGTAACAGTAACAGAAACAACAACAAACGCCTCAAACGGCAGCCAAAAGGCAAGCCAAATAAGCGGATACCCTACATTGGTCTAAGCTGCAAATTTCCCCTAAGCGAAAGGATATTCCTTGGCATATTTGTTTACTATTTATGTTTTGATGATTCCAATTCGTATGCAAAACTGTGTCCTCTCACTTAGGAGACACTTGTACAGCGAATCAATGTCATTTTGATTAGATCTTTTCAGATGTACACAGAGAGGAGTGGCTTGAGTGTTTCTAGAATCATAATACCCTCTCTTTGGCAGGGTATACGCGACAGTAACTGAGTAGCACGACGGCCGGCTCGTGGGTAGCGCGAGTGCTAAATGGGCCACAGAGTGAAGGGAGAAGTGGAGTGTGGAGTGTGGAGTGTGGAGAGTCATGGAGTGTGGGGCTGCACATGCAATCGAATCTGCTGGAGTGGACACCACACACTCCCCCACAGTCCATGTTGCCACCTCCTACTCGTGTCACCTACTCCAAAAGCCTCAGCCCCAAAGTCAGTCACCCCGAAAACAGTCGCTCCCGAGATGGAGAAGCCGACGGCTGTGGTGGAGGAATGGAGAGCTGCTCCTCTCATCAGCGGAGACAATGGTGGGAATATTCTCATATTAAGAAATCGCGCGATCTTCAGCGCCAGATGTGTCCGTGTCCGTGTGTCCCCGTGTCCGTGTGTCCGTGTGTCCGTGTGACTTGTTGCGAGTGTTTGTATTTAGTGCAACGGCGCAGGTCAGCGCCAACGGTGCCTGCCCCAACAGTGGCAGTGGCAACAACACCAAATGTTCATGGCAAATTCGCAATGTGTCGTGGTCGTGCCACCGTTGTCATGTCCGAGAGTGTAACAAAGACCTCGACTGAGAATACCCCCAATGCCATTGCCTGCCTCCTCCTCCTCCTCCCCCACCCAACAACGAATGCCTCATGGCCCCAATTCTGTCGTTCCTTCCGCTGCTGCCACCACACCACGCTCCCTTTCCCGTTCCCATCCCCTCGTCGCCAGGTTGCGACGCCCCCGCCAAGTAGCGCGAATAAACATTCATGCAACTGCAGCAGCAGCAGCAGCAGCAACAACAATAATTGCATTACACATAAAAATAAATTGTAATGAACTTAGGGAAGAGCGAGGGACGACAACAGAAGAAGGAGGCAGCAGAAGAGACAGCGGCCAATGTGAAAATCGATGCGGAAGCATGCAACAAACAGCGGCATGGACCGGCAGCAGCAGCAGCAACCAGCAGAGAGGGCAACTACAGCTATAACAAATTTCACCTTAGCTTTGTTTTTGGGTCTAGGAATTTTCCACCAATTCGTCCAAACTGTAATTTGTTGTAATCCGCCAGAAGAGCATTTTCCCCCCCGGCGTTTGCTCCCATCCCTTTAGTTGTTGCTGGCAATAAATATATTTGAATACGAGTGCAACATGCGGCAGCAGCAACATTGAGGCGGAAAGAGCGCTCAAGAATTTCCATTGATGGAAGCCCAAGTGATGGATTGTTTTTTAGGAGGATTTAAATATCCAAAAGAAGGGTTTTAGGAAGTGAATTCACAAGTGTAAAAATTATAATTTGTTGAGTCGAAAGCTAAGAAGTTAAACGAATAAATTATGCTAAAATATAAAATATGAATTAAGACTAGTAAAAAGAAAACAAAAGCAATAGAAAATGTTTAATATAAGCAAGAAGGAAATGCCTTCAATCTGTTTGGGGATTTGTCGCGATGAAAATAAGTTGCGAATCTGCCACAACTAAAGAGCTATGAAAATGGGAAAGCAGCTTCCTTTATTTGGAAACAAATAAAAGTACTCTTTGGAAGTGGAATATAAATGAATGTGAGGAATGAATGAAGGAAACCGCAGATTCCACCCTCAACTGTGAAGCTGCACTGGAAAAGAGAACAAATCAAATTCCACTACACAATCCTTTGCATAGGTGGAGACTTTTGGGATTCATAAAGCTGTCAAAAGGCAAGTCCTGCCAGAGTCACACACACAATGTGGCATGTACGTGTATGTGCAGCCCATTCCGTACTCCCACTCGTATGTGGCATGGATTTGTGTGTGTGTGTGTTTGAGTCAATTAATTAGCCATGATTCTCACGACCTCAAATTAAGAGGAAAGCCCATAACAAATAGGAAAATCCAAGCAGCATGCAACAAGAGCAACATTCAGACGATGGGGGGGGGGGGGATGCCACTGGCGACGGATTGGGGGGGAGGCGACAATGGACAACGACGGACAATACAATGGGCCCTACAATGCCCCGCGGGGCAGACAGAGGGAGAGGTTAAAGAGTTAGCATCTTGCAGGCAGTTCAAGTTGCAAGTTGCAAGTTGCCAGTAGCAAGCGCCAAGCGCCATGTGGAATGGGAAGAAGCTGCCACTGCCACTGCCACTGCCACTGGCATTGGCACTGTGGGGATTTGGAATTGTATTTGGGAGATTTTTAGGGGAATGTCAGGCGGCTTTTGTAGGCGGCAGTGGGTGGGCGGGGAGAGTACCTGGAGATCTGATTTAAGCCCGAAATTAGGAATAATGGCAATGGCCTGCACATGACATCCTCTTCAGTTTCACCCCCCCCCCCCCCCCTGCACAGGGTGGGAAAGGGAAGGAGACGCCGTAGTCCGGAGTCCGAGTGGAGCGTTGACAGGCAGCAAATGCGAACAAGACAGCATCGCTACCCACAGCAGACAGTTGGCGGCACATAGATGGGACTGAGACTGGGACTGGGACTGAGACTGGTGCTGCTGGGGGCACAGTGAAATTATCTCACGGATAATCCGAACAACACGTTCAACCTTTTCTTCTCTCTTTCTCTTTCTCTCTCTGTTTTTCTTTTTCTTTTGATTTTTGTGTGTGTTTTTTTTTTGTGTTCATTGTGGAGCTCCGCCGTTTCTTGAGCGGATTCCCCCAAAGCGGAAGGCAGGGGCAAGTTCCGAGTGTGGGTGATGGGATCTCACCCTTTTCGAAAGGGGTGGGGGGGGGGGGGGTGTGTGGGTTGCAGACAGTCCATTTGAAACAATGGCAAAATGCACCTGACTGTGGCCTGGAATATCTCTCTCGCTCTCTCTGGCTCTCTGAAACATGCAGCAGAATCTGGGGCCCAAGCTGCAGCAGCATCCGAAGCTGCAATAAAACTGTAGCTAAAATGTTGAAGACGAAGCTGGAAAGTGTTTCAGCTACATGCCACAGCGACTTCGTCTCTGGCTCTGGCTCTGGCCCTGGCTCTAGCTTCAGCTCTGTGACTTCGACTCTCTGTGGTTGGTCGCTGCTTGGAAAACTGTTGCGGAAAAGTTATTTGCTGTTTGCTTAGCGGCAGTCGCAGCACCACCAAGAGAAAGGGTAACAGATTCCCACACTCCCAGCCGGATGGATGCGGGGGCGGCAGGCGGCAGGCGGCAGGAGGGCTGACACACCGCAAACGGTACTCCGGGGCCTGGCCCAGAGTGTTGACAACGACACAGAGACCATTGTGCCATGAATGGAGGTGGCATGAGGCAGTGTCTGTGTGTGTGCGGCTGATTGATGAATGTCAGCGCCCGAAAGTGTGTTTTGTGTGTGCGACATGGCAGTTGGGGGGCAGGTGTCATGGGAAGCCCTGCGAGCCCAGCGGCACTGAAGGTCACCCTTTGGAGTAGATCTTTGATTTAACCCCCTCCCCTACCCACCCCTTCAGGCACTCCATCAGAATATGTGGCACAAACCCTGAGAGAGGCGAGCGAGCGAGCGAGGGCTCCGCTTAGTGCCGCCACTTGAAGGCCTTCAAATATGTTGCAAAAGCAAACAAAAGCAAAGCGAACGTGCAACGTGCAGCGTGCAACATGCTGCAACCTGCTGCAGACACACTAACTGTACCATGCAGCGGCGGAGTAACCTACAAATAAAAAGGCAAGCATAAAGGCCCACAAATCGACAGAAAACATCCAAAAGTTGAAAGTTGAAGACGTCGCGTCTGCGGCTGAAGTATCTGCCAGATACGTAGATACTTGTACACTCGAGAAGACGCTCGCAGGCGGCAGCAGGCGGCATGCCCCAGAGGCAGACACACTCCGCGTGATCGACCGTGTGTCGATGGACAGATGGACATTGTACGAGGTGCCGGTTGCCGGTTGCCGGGGCACTGCCATCCATATGGATGAGCGAGCTCTGTTTGTATTACGTTTGAAAGTCATGTTGCAGAGATATTCAGCACAAAAACAAAAATGTATCTGCATATCTGCAACGGGGCACCTGTGCTGCTTGCCACCCGCTGCTGCTGCAGCAATCGCTCGTCGTCACTTGCATATCAATGTGGCCAAAAAAAGTATAAAATGTGACGTCTCTCGAAGCTGCACGATCAGAGACAGAGCTGGAGCTGGAGCTGGAGCTGGAGCTGGAGATGGAGAAAAAAACACACGGCCTAGTGCGTCCCTAAGTCTTCCCCCTCCAGCTTCCCTCTGCTGTCCCACAGTGACGCAATCGAGGACAAGACTGCATTATAGAATAAACAAAACAGCGAACGACCTGGGGCAGCGGCAGCATCGCATAGCGTAACATTGAAAGTGCAACATC